CATAGACTGTGTTGGGTTGGGTGGGAACGCTTTCTTGATATAAAGTCCTTTCTTCTATAAAGTTCTTTCATCTGTGTCACTAGAAGACTAGGCTAGAACACCTTCTGTGGGATAGGCAAAAATAGAAATCTCTTCAAGTCAGTTGGACGGGTAGCTGTCTTCCAAATCTATTGGCACAGGCAAGTGAGTGCTTCCAGTCTTGCATCCATTTGTAAAACAAAAACACACAAAATCTCAGTTGGTGTTCTGTCACACTTGGTGTAGTCTTATGATTGTTTTTCTTGCCAATGCCTTCAGTGCAGCTTGCACTTCTTCAGTAGATTCCATCATTTCTTCATCAGTTACTCCCTGCTGAAATAAAGAAGTACTGACCAGTTCTCTGTATTCCTTCCAGCTTCTGGGGAAGTTTCCTTCAACCAATATTCTGCTGATAAAATTATTAAAGCCTGCAACTTTGGACTTGATCTTTATCACCAGTTCTCACAGCTGGATAAAGGCCCCATGGTCACATTGCATGAAGACACTTCCTGTCCATCTCAAGTCCCTCTGGAATGTTCCATATGATGCTTCACTTCATCCTTGATCCCATTCACTGTAGCAGCTCTATGTTCAGGAACAAATGTCAGGCTCTCCCCCCTCCCGTATTTTTTTAAATTATGCCTTGCTTTTTAATTTTTTTTCACATGTAATGTACTTGTCATCCCCCAATTTGTCTGGTGTTCATTCATTCAGGTTTAATATATCAAACCCATTCTTGAGAATTGTACTTTGGCTCTCATGCACTTAATATTCTTCAACTTCAATGTGAAGTTGCATATGGACAACTGATGGCTTGTTCTTATATCAACGCTGGTCCCATTCTGACTGGTGATACTAAATGTCTCTATTGCTTCTCTAAACAAAGGTAGTTGATTTGATTCACATATATAACTTGAATTAAGGTATACGTAAATATATAGTCTCCATTTATATTATTGAAAAATAGCATTCAAATTGATAGATCATTGGTCTTACAGAATTCTATCATGGGATCTCTAATATTTCTATTATCAAGGCTGCATTTTCAACTACTGACACCCTCCCCCACCCTTTACATTTTAAAATCTCAATAATGGTCAATGCATCTTGACTGCATAGTTGATCGTTTCTGACAGCAGAAGTTGGTCAAACTTCTTAATTTCTTCACTTTTGGCATTTGTTTTTGGTGCATATATTTGAGTAATGGCTTTATTAACTGATCTTCTTTGTAAGTACAGCATAGATCTTGAAATGTTCTTGTTGATGATAAGTGTGATAGGCTTTCACTTCAAATGGGCATTCCTGACACGGTAGTCTCATAACTGTCCAATTTACACTGGCCAACCCCAGCCCATTGGAGTTGATTAAAGCCTTCTCTGTGGATTTTCCAGCTTTCTATTTCATTTTTGATGACTTCCATTTTCCCAGATTCATATACTGTATTTCCCACCTTCCGATTATCAACAGATCTTCACCATTGTTTCTCCCCACTTTGCATCCTGCTACATGAGTAAATGAAGCTTCCAGAGGGGTTATTGTATCCATGTTTTAAGATCAGCTATATTTGCCAAGACAATTCTTTCTGAGCTGCACTTGGATGACCTTCCACCTGAGGGACTCATCTTCTGGCACTATTTCAGATGATGTTTTGCATTTATTACTAATGTTTTCACTAGCTATTATTTCAGAACTAGGTCACCAAGTCCAATTTTATCCTCTTTGTCAGTAGGTTCCATTGTGTGTTAGGTGGGTTCTCTAGAGAACCAAAAGCAGTGATTCCTGAATGTGTATGCGTTTGGAAAGAAATGGTTACACAGTTATACAAGTAGGTAAGTCCAGTTCAATTCTGTATGTCAGAAGCTGGAGGTTCTTCTGACTCACGCAGGTGCAGGAGCTGAAGAACAGGAAGCAGGAAGATGAAGCCGAAGGGCCACAGGTTGGTGGATGCAAAGGTGAATGAATCCAAGGTAGGCTGAAGTAATCTAAGTCAGGCAGTCCACTGATGGCTCCTGAGACTGGCAGGCTAACCAGTCATTGGATCTAGACTCACAAGGTGAAGGCATAAGAGAGAGCCTGATTCTGCCCTCTTATACAAAAGGCTACACCCCTCCTTTACCCAGGTAGTCAAGTTGATTTAACAGCTAACCATCACACATTGGAACCGGTTCACTATGAATGACTTAGACTAGAGTACAATAAACTGTCGGGCCAAAACCAAACTCACTGCCATCGAGTCAGTGCTGACTCATAGTGACCCGTGTGGGTTTCTGAGACTAACTATGGACTGGAGTAGAAAGCCCAGGCTGGTGTGTTTGAACTTCCTCCTATGCAGACCGAAGCCCAACACATAACAAATAATCATTCCCCCCACCTTTTTTTACTCTCATTAGATGCTACTCTAAATTAAGTGATTTATTTATACAGAGCACTTCATATACATAGAAATCTTCATTCCATGAAGTGCGATCATCACCATATCCATTACCGATTGGGGAAATGAGGCACAGCTAGGAAGACTGCATCACCTCATTGAGCTACTTAAAGAAAAAGATTGGTGCCCAAACAGCCTGTTTCCAGAATCTGCTTTTAGCCCAATTCTGACTTTCCAGGTTAAATGCTATCATAATGGCCATGAAATAAAAACAAAACAAAAACTCCTCCTTCTAAAGAAGCATGGCGCTAACCGCGACATTACTTTTTACTCGGCATGTGCTACCGCACTGTTTTCTCTACTGTGTGCTGAGATGCTGTTCCACTGGATTAAGGGGCTGTGTCCAAGGCTGAGACTTCCTTTTATCATTCTGGCTTGAGACCTTCTACCTGGGGCGAACGAGGAGGGAAATCTTTGTGAAAACATACAATGTGGGAAAAGGTTAAATGTATCATCCTTTCTGCTTTGCTTTCAAAATGTTTACTATAAAAGAAATAGAGCATACAATGTTTTTTTTTTGCATAAAACTTTTAAAAAACAGGGAATCATGGAGGCTGGATGAACCTATGAAAATACAGTCCTGAGATAATTTCTAAATTTTCAGACAAAACTTTCCCCTGAGGTCTTCTTGGAACTGAGCAGGATGACAGTGTACCAAGTTAAACCAAAAAAAGTCTGCTTTGAGCATTACGCTCTTTCAGCATGAACTATGTGGGATCAAATTGACAACCACTGGAAATATCAGACAGGTTGTGGAGGGAGCAGGGAGTTTATGTTTATGACTAAGGATCGCCCAACTGCAGGAGAATCAGAATGGCTGTACCACGTGAAAAGTATCATACGTGTCAATAAATGGTAGAAACAGTTGAATTAGTGTGTTTTCTGTGCATTGTCTCAATGGCAAACACAAAGCACACAAAAATCTAGAAAAGGAACACACAGAGGAAGAAGTACATCATCCTGGTTTCGATAACAGGGTGTTGGATGTAACACCAAATGAACAGACAAGAAGAGAAAACATTGATGACTTCATCAACATTAGAGGTTCTTGCACATTGATGGTTCTGAGGAAATGATTGCCATGGGCAAGAGTTCTATATACAACCAGGACCAGCCACGTGCTGTACAGGTAGAGCACTTTAAATTAGTTGAGCCTGGATGTGGACAGCCTCTCGTCCCAGATAGTCCTGGACAGGCTGAGCAAAGAAGGCCCCAGAACACAGCTTATTAGGTTGTGCTAACTGACACTGCTGTCTCTCAGATCCAGGGGCTCATGACTGTCCTGGTTACAGGCTTGGTGGTAGGTTTATGTTGATCTGAGTTTATAGGTAATTTCTGAGACTTGGGCTTACCACAGCCCCCTTAAATGAGTTCTTTCAGCCCCTAGCTGCAGGGCAAACATGCTGCTTAGGGTCAGAACCATGCCATGGCTTATTTGCCCAGCAGCACATTGTGTCTGAATGGTGACCCAGCTCCTTTCTGAAGGGGCAAGAGGCACCAAAGAGACTCACTGTCAGGTAAAGATAGACCCTAACAGAGTTTGTCGTTTTAAAACTTATTTATTTACATATTTAAAATATTGTGGTTTTAGTGATTAAAACTCTACAGATTACAAAATAATTAATTGATAAACATATATATGTGTGTGTACATCTATCTATCTATCTATCTATATATCAAGGATTTAGTATGCAGAATATGAAAGGAACTAGTACTATTTAACAACAAAAAGATAAACCCGCCAATCAAAACTTAGGCAAAGGCCCGTGACAGCCATTTCTCTAGCGTGATACACAAATGGGCATTAGACATAGGGAACAGTGCTCCACAGTGCTGTTCATCAAGGCAACTCAAGTCTCAACCACAGCAACACGCAACGTCATAAACAACGAACTGCTGTTATCAGAAAGATGAAAAATGATACTTGGTGGAGATGTAGAACATATAGAATCTTTATGCATTGCTAGTGGGAATGTAAACTATTTCCAGTCCTGTGCAGTTAGACAATTCCTCAAAAAGTGAAACATAAAATTACTAGAAGAACTAGCAGTTCCACACCTAAATATAAATGCCACAGAATCAAGAGCAGGTACTCAAACAGAAAAGCTTTACAAATATTCCCTGCAGACCTAGTCACAATCGTCAAAATATGGAACAGTATGTTCACCAGCAAATGAAAAAATAAGCAAAAGTCTATATATACATACAATAGATGATTATTTGCCCATAAAGAGAAATGACGTTTTGATACCAGCTATGACACCCATGAATCTTAAAAAGACCCTGGATGAATTAAATCTGCACAAATAGACAAATAGTGTAAATCTTATGAGAGGTACTTAGAATAGATAAGTGCACAAAGACACTAGTCTACTGGTGACTACCAGGAGCTAAGGACAGAGGTAGTAGAATGATATTATTAAAGGGCACTTAAGACCCTCCATACACTATTCAAATGCTAAAATACGGGACATCTCTTTCACATCTCTATGTCAGGTGAGGAGAAGGTAGATAACTCCTGTTTTGTTTTTCACACAGCAGAATAGAATACCTTTCATTCTCCTGGACCATCCATTTTCCTTTCATCCAGAAAGAGAGCGCCCTGGGGGCGGATCTGGGTTTACACTCCAAGATGACCAGACTGCCCACTTGCACTTGAACCAATTTTTTCATTGGATTCTTTGAAAAATCTGGAGCAGCCGCTGATAAGAAAGAAAGAACAGGGAGAAGGAAAACTGGATCATTAATTTAATTTTAAAAATATCCTTGTAGATTTAAGTGTAGACGCTGGAACCATACAGGAAGTTTTCTGCGCACACAAGATGTCAGCACTTGACATACGATGTATCAAGTGACACATCAGGTTCTGGTGCCAAAGAGTCATCCCTGCTTTCATGCTTTCTGGCAAGTTCTAAATCTTGAGGAGATTATACTCGATTTTAAAAAAGCTTTCTTGAAGCTTTAAAAGATAAAAGAAAGGCAGTTCTCATAGAGTGCTTTTACAAGATAGTTGCTAGTCTCTCCTGTTCTTCACCAGGAAACCAAACTGGACCCAGCACTTCACTCCATTATGCTCAATCTCTTTAGAATAAAACCTGAGTATTGAATTTATTTATTCTTTTTCTTTTTTAACATTTTATTAGGGGCTCATACAACTGTTATCCCAATCCATACACACATCAATTGTGTAAAGCGCATTTGTACATTCATTGCCCTCATTGTTCTCAAAACATTTTCTCTCCATTTAAACCCCCGACATTAGGTCCTCATTTTTCCCCTCCCTCCACGCTCCCCCCTCCCGCATGAGCCCTTGATAGTTTATAAATGGGTATTTGTTTTTTTTAAAGAAGTAAAAATCCATTATAGAAACCTATTATGAAATTAATATGGTTAGGCTAACTTTCAAGTTAGAATCTATCTATCTATACATGCAATGTAACAGTATACTATTTAATGTATTATATATGTGTGTGGGTTTTACAATTGTTATATATGTGTCACACTCATATATACCATGTATTAGTATATGAAATCTTATACTGTTACCTTAAATGCTATTATAACACATAGAGAACACTTCAAATGAAACAATACTTGTTCAAGATACATAGTACCACATCATTGGAATGAAATGATATGATTTGGAGAAAGTCGAATGTTGGTCAGAAACTCACTCTTCACAGTAACTGCAGAAAAAGTAAATAACCTTGTACACCTCCTCAAACATCTAATGCTCTGTCTTATGAAGAAATCTTCTAACTATAATTTAATTTTTAATAAAATGAGATATTATGGTGGATTATATAATTGAGGACAAAGAAACCATATACAGAGGTAACTGGCCTTACAAATTATGATTCTGAGGAAATAATAACTTTTATTACATCCAAATGGAAAAACTTCCTATTTGGATCAAATCACCTGTCTTTTATGCATATCTTTTTTTTTTTCTGTCACTCAACCACCCCATGGGGAAAACTGAGTAGAATCCCTCCATTTTAAAGATGAATGAATGATGGCTCATCAAGTTAACTTACTATGAGAAAGGATCAAGAGTTCAAGTTAAGATCTCCGGGCTAATTCCCACCTCTTTCTGCCATAGGACACCACCTATAGATCACTGATAGCAGCAGCTAGGCTTTGGATGGCATCTGCCCTCCCCCGGCTTTGGCTCTCCTAGTGTAGAAGATAAGCTCGTGGCTTATCTTAGCTTGTAACTAGCCACTAACCCAAACCAAGCCTGCAGTGTCATATAAGAAAGGCCTGGCAATTTGCTTATGTAAAATTACATGTCGGGAACCCCAATGGAGCACTACTACTCTGTAGCACAAGGGTTCAGTAGGAGTCAAAATCAGTTACATGACCAACAGGTTCAGTTGTTTTCTGGCTAGAGAAGACGTGTATCTAACTTTCAGGCATCGAGAGGGACAGACTTGCCTTACTTTAAACCAGGGTTTCTCAATATCAACACTGCTGACATTTGGGATAGGGATTCTCTATTGTAGGGGGTTGTGCACTATGGGGTGTGTATCACCATCCCTGGTTCATCTACTTACTTGATGACTGCAGCACACACCACCTCGTGTCCACGCCCACACGAACAACCAAAGACACCACCAGATATATGCAGGTATCTGTTCATAGCAAAAAATCACCCACTCCCGGGAACTAGTCCATTAAGCCAATCAGGGCTTTTTAGGCCCCTCGTCCTAAGAATTGGGCCAGTGACAGGTCCATGACTCAAATCAGAGAGCACAGGGCTAGTGACGTTAAGAAGGGTGACTTCTTTTTAAGCAATTAAGAAAGTCATTTCCCAAACCCAAACCAAACTCACTGCCATCAAGTCAATTCTAACTCAGAGTGACCCTGTCGAACAGGGTAGAACTACTCTGTGGGTTTGCAAGACTGTAACTCTTTATGGAAGCAGAGAGTTCTGTCTCTATTTTTCAGAGCAGCTGATGGCTTTGAACTGCTGACCTTGAGGTTAGCCGTCAAATGCATGTCCACTATGCCACCAGGGCTCCAATAAAGCCATATAATTTCCACCAAATTAAAGGTGGTGAAGGAGATAGAGGGATTGTGCTGGAGACATTGTATAGGGTTTGCATATGGTTACTATTTGGAACCTTGGATCAAATTATACGGAAATTGAAATTCTACATATTAACTATATGGAGAATTAATATCAATTTATCCATTCATTCATTTGATTTTTTGTGCATTTGCTCCTTCATACATACAATTATTCATCTTTGTTACTGATTTTTGGTAGAATTTTCAGTCATGTAAATTAAAGTAATCTTAGGGATAATGTCAGATTTTCTCTCTTACCTTGTGACTTAGAGAAGGAAACAGAAGAAGAAAATAATTCAGAATTTCAAACAGTTACACATTAGTTAATTACAGATTCAGTGTGCTCAGTGTTTGATGCTGCTAGCATAGCAACTAATGACAAAAACCATTCCTTTGGAATGAATAAATGGTTACTTTGAATATTGGTACTTAAATTACAGACCATCGACAGAGGCCAGGTCACTCATTCTCTTAAAAGACGCTGGTTAGGTTGTTGAAGCTGGATAGCCAACACTTTCTCCCGTCCAATAACTTACTTCAACGTTTGGAACCTAATAGCAGCCAAAATTGTTGTCTGTCTCTTAAATAGTTATTAACATATATGTACCATATATACTCGAGTATAAGCCGGGCTTTCCAGCACATTTTTAATGCAGTTTTTGGGGTAAAGTTAGGTGCCTCGGCTGATATTTGGGTTGGCTTATTCTCGAGTATGTATGGTATATATGCCACAATCAGTAGCCCTGAGCAATTCTGTTGCAGTATTGTACACATTGCTAGATGTCGAAATCTAATATAAAAATAACATGGGAAATCAACATCTTGTTGCTGCAACCAGGGAGGTATTTGGGGCAAATGTATATGTAGCTATATGTTTCTGTAAAAGCTTATATAGATCTAGATATAGAGAAATTCAGTCTTACCAATAACCTTCAGTTCCGCACTGGAATAGATGAGACCATGTTTGTTTTCAGCTATGCACTGGAACATTCCAGAATCTGTCACATTTAGGTTTGATATTGTAAGGGCACCATTTTCTATTTGTATTCTCTCCTAAATGATAACAAAATCATCTCGCATATAAATAGATTTATCATTTTGAATGGCCAAAAAAATTATTGACTAACATTTCAATTACACAGCAACCTTCTATATTTTCCCCAACATGACCTGAAATGTACCCTTTCCTTTTGGAATTGTAAAGGACTGATTTATCGTAACAACTACACATTGGCAATACTAATAAACATTTATCTGCTTAAATGTAAATAATTCAAACCTACAAGTAAAACATTGCAGACTTTTTATTTTGTCCATGCCGTTCAAAGTTCAGACTAAAGAAAAGGTGGCATTTAGTTGTTTTGTTTCTCGGCATTTAGAAAGGTTTTCACAATTTTGTTTTAAGTCATGCAAATAATTTCAGGACAATATCACCTCTGCACATTCAAAAGCTTCTTGGAAAAACAAATATTTATCAGGATGTTTACATTGTGAGAGAAGTTAGTTAGGGAAGGAAATCTGAAAGAACTTACTGAAGTTTGCACATAATTTTTAAGAACACAATTTACAGGGTACAGAATGGAGGCGAGTGAGAAAATGAGCACCTATGTAACAGTGCAGCCAGCTAATAGATGCATTTATTCTGCAGAGGCCGCACAAAGTTGCCAAACAGAAAAAGAAATTGACATTCTGCACTTGATTCAAGTAAGGTCTCCTTTAATATCAACATCCAAAACATAGCATCTTACATCACAGATTAAATTCACAAGACATCTTTTCCCAATGAAATGCGATGTTTAAAGGCTTTTTCCTTGGCATACTAGACGCCTGATTGAATCCTTATTTCCTTATACCACTCACATGCAAATGCAGGAGTGTGCACACTTACCATTCTACTTCTCTACTAGGCACGTGATACTGCATTTACTTAAGAGAAAGAAGAGAGGGGAATCGACAAGCTTGTACCCTTACCTCTAGCACCAGAGCATCTCCATTTTTTAACCATCGGTAGGAAGGTTTGGGCTTCCCACTTGCCCGACATTCCCAATAAAGATTATCCTCCACAGCTATTTCCACATCCTTTACAGTCTTAACCCAGTGAGGCTTTGCTGCATTTACACAATAACAAAATAAATGAATATAACCATGCAATGTTTTGCAATAAATTGTATATAGTTAAATATCAATGGCTATAAGCTTGCAAGCAATTATCCAGCATATGATTAGACATAGATGGAATTCACTATTTACTAAGTAGAAATAGGAAATGTTTCTGGATTTAAAACAGATGTTGCAATCTGTCATTAGCTAAACTAGACTCATTATGCTCTCTTTGTTTTTAAAATTCTGCACACTTCAATATATCCTTCATCTATGAGAAGATAGTGAAGAGTCTGCGATTGGCACACATGGATAAGGGCTAGGCTACTTGAAAACATCCACCTCTGAGTCTGAAGAAAGATCTGACTGTGTTTCAAAAAGGCCCCAGTTATGACAGCAGAGTTCTGCTCGGACACACACAAGGCCATCGTGAGTCAGGACTGACTACTTGGCAGCAGGGATTTTAAAAATGGGTTTGGTTTGGGATGCAAGTCAACAAATTAGACTTTACTTTGCAAGTGTGTGTTTGGATCCCAAGCCTGCAACTGATAACAATTTAATATGTGAGTGACAGCCGAGACTAGTCTTAATTACACACTAAAAATTAACATCCATAGAGGAGAAACTTCTAGAGCTGAAGGAAAAACACTTCCCTCAAGTTAGAAATAACTTAATTAAATACGGACCAGTGAGCATCTTATGAACCTCTGTGCAAATTAGAAAGACAGCAGCAAAAGATGGATAAATTGGTTCAATTTGAATCATAATATGATTTTCTTTTACCAGAAAAAGAAGCAACTTTAAATTACGTATGCAAATCACTTGGATCAAGCGAGTTTATCATTTTCTCTTATATTTTAGAAGATACTTGGAAAATTCTTTCTACAGATGAAAGCAACATACCATTTAAAATGAACGTCATTAAATATACACGGCACATTCAGCCAAGTCTCAGCTTGCGTTTTAGATCCAAAACTGGGAGGTGCGATGTCTTACTGGTTTCACATTGCATTATGCATGTGATATCTACCGTGGGATTCACATTTGCATCTTCCATATGGAGAACCAGTTTATGTACTTCTGTTTCATTGCAACCAAGAGGAAGATCTGTCCTTCCATTTCTTTCTCATAAAATTGTTATTCTTTATCAGAAATTGAAATCGAATTATGGCAACTTAGCTCATCTTCTCTCTATCTCTGATATAAACTACTTGCCCATTCTAAATTGTATTTCATGCTAAAACCATTCTTCTTGATTTCCTACTGAAAGGCATTTTCTTTCAGAAATTAGCAGCCTGGTAGGGAATGAGGGTTCAAACAGAGCGAGACCTGAGCAGCTGAAAGAGAGCCCAATGGTCAGTCATCAGCAGCTTCAGAATGTTTCTCCTGGGTAAACTGCAAATAAATATTCACTGAACTTAAGTCACCTGCCATGCGAATCCTTTGTCATTCAGTGGGTTTTCTTCTTCTTCTTTTTTAATCAAAGTGACTTGGAGACACATTTTGAAAGAAAACAAAAGACAATCTAATGTTTTCACAAATAGGGTCTAAATAAGGGTAACACGATTATCCTCTGCTCACTCAAATTGAGCAGTGCATCGAATAAATGTGATAGCAAATTAAAGGCAGCAAACAATGTCAGCACATCTTACTGGAAGGGGGATAAACGCACTGAGGACTTCAGTAAAAGTCTATATTTATGTGGTTTGTGAACGCAGCACCTGAAACTCTTCCAAGTAGATATTCTTGGCTTTTAAGATGGCAGCTAAAAAAGCGTATTGTCTAGAGAACAGAGCAAAAGATTTATTTCTAATACATTTAATTGTGTAAACATATTCTTTTGGGGAAGGAGAACTATTCCAATATGGAAAATAAAATGTTTTCCACCCCAAATTTCATTGCAGCATATTATTTTTAATGTCTTCTATGCTTCCTGTAAGTCAGAATCGACTTGGCAGAAACCAGTCCCGTGGTTTTGGC